TATTTCCTTGGGAATAATGTAATCTAATGAATGCACTATTTCTCTTCATAATTGTGCAGATTCCTAGGGCACTATCAACCACTACAGGGTAAACCAGCACTGTGGGAATTGGATTCAGACCAGCATTACAATGTGGGGAGGCGTAATGACAATGTTAGGTATGAAATGGTCTGTCTGTTTGTTCTCTGTAATCGAAATTCAGAGGGAGACCAACATTGAAAATAGTTAACATATTCATGCACACATATCCACATATCCAGTGTTCTTTTAAGTTCCAGTTTTCTGTCAATATGGGATAATCTCTGCCGTATACTTACCTGCTTCATACGTTTTAGATATCTGGATACAGTAAAACTTAGTCTTCAAATTTATCACTGGATACGTTTATAATTGGAAACATTGGTCTCTGTACTGGAGTGACTCATATCTCTTTAGGTTTATTTTGCTGCTGCAGGAGGCATTGAACTAAAAGGGCACAATAATTTTCGTGTTGAAATTCTATATGTAAAACTCTTATTGGTTTAACAACTTATAAAAGTTCTTTAATCATTTAGTAAACATAGAATTGGTAATCCCAGATCTCTGATATCTGGCTGGATGATATTTAGGGTTAAAAATAATTGTCTGCTTATGAGGATGAGAAGTAAATCTATTGTTACTTCTTATGAAAAAGGTCAATCGATCAATATTACAGTTCCAGTCTCCTGTCTGTCTGATGTTACTAAAACGAATAAATAACCTATGAGCTTGCTCTACATATGACTTGAAAGACCACTTTCTATATATGTAGGTCATTTATCAAAAGGTCACTATCTGATGGCCATATGCTTTCCGAAAGTGATTCACCTATAGCAAGTACAGATGTAGGACACAATCAGCCTTTGTCTGAAATTGCACAAGGAGGTAGCAAGGGGATTTCAGAGTCTGCACCAGCAATCCCAACTTGTGAAAGTGAGATATCCTATTGCAGGTATGCTTGAATTGTAATTCATATACTTGTTACCAAGAGAGTATATTGCAACATTTTTAAGTTTCGAAGCCAAGAAATTAAATGGTCGGTCTATCTTTATTGGTGTACGCCTACAACAATTACTTTTTCCTTTCCAATGTTAAGGATAGTTGAAGTTGGTCTAAAAGGTTTGTATGTCAACCCGACTTCCAGTCTGACAATGTTCTTTTGTAGGTTCACTTCCCCAGTGCCAAGCGTGATGCAAGAAGACCAATGCCTCCAAAGTGATAATAGTTTTTATGATGAGCATGATTATGATTGTAACTTCTCAAATTTTCTGAATTCGGACTGGTTGTCTTCATCTGGAAATTCGTGTGAAGAAGAAACTTATGGAAGGTACTTACTCCTTCCCTCACAAAAATAAGCATGCAGATTAGACTTGGCAACATTGCGCGTGAACTTCCTAGTTCTGACAACTGATAATTGGTTCTTGTCTGTAGGTCTTTTGCCAGCGTTTCGTCGGAGAATCTTGTGAATGGACCAAAGGTTGAAACGAGTACATCTGTAAGTGAATCAGGATCCACAAAAAAGGTGAGTTAATTTTTATCTTCTTGCTGGAATTACATGAAACTGTTTTAGTACTTGTGTTTATTTAGAGAAGATTAGCAACTTTCCTGATGAACAGACAAAATATAAGTTGGTTATACCATCCTACTGCACTTAGATAAGGAGAACTCTGCCATAGCATTCTTTGTTCTGTGACCACTTGACCATGTTTTGCAGAATAAAAATAGAGGAAAGTAGTTGGAACCTTTTGAATGATAGATCAAAATACCTTGGTATATATCCATTGACATTACTCACTAACGATCCCTAAAGGAAAAGAAAAGAAGTAAGGTAATGACATTACAGCAGACGACTGCAGGCTATGGTACATCTTAAAAATTGGAGGGGTGTAGGACAGTCTGAAAACGGATGGTCTAATTTCATAGAAACTATGGCTACTGAATTTATGAAACAAGTGAATCATGCTATTTTAAAGTATTTTAGTTGCTTCTGATTTTTGTACAACTGATGTCCGCCTAAGATTGATTTCCAGACTTGCCGTATTCTGTTAGATCTTTGGAACCATTAAAATTTGCCATCTTTATTTTCCTGCATTTTTTTCGCATAGAAACAAATTCTGAAGGCCTTGTTTTCTGATTTATTAGGGCAAAGAGCAATGTGAATCTGAGCTCAGTGATGATAACGGCATACTCCAGTATTCAAAAAGCTTCATGAACTGGGTAGATAACGGGGAGTTGCTGTTTCTTTGAAGCTAACTAGAAGGTTTTGCATCATAACTCTGACTCAACCCGTCCGAAGGATTTGGGTTCCTGTACATGAAATAAATGGTAAGATATCAACCAAAAGAGCATAGTGCTGGGATGTGCTGAGAAATATATTCTTCAAGGTGAAAATTAATTCTTGGATCATTGAGAATTTACAGTTTATCTTGTCATAAGGTCCATTGTCATGATAGGGGCAAGTAAAGAAAAGAAGCAATAAGCAACTCTTACAGTTGTTGTCAACTCAACCGCTTCTTGTAGGTTCTAATCTCTCTAAAATTAATTACCTGTAGATATTATTTAGATAACAACAAATTTGCTCCCTTCAAGCTCAATGCAGGTCCAGGTTTTGTTTCATTTCATTTTCTTTTCAACTTTATTTGTTGTGTATGCATTTGTGCCGGTCAGGTGGTAATGCACCAAAAATTTTGTTCACCTTGAGAAGTACAATGCTTTTGGGCATCGAACTTGGCAGCATTTGTGAGTAAACCTACCGTCCTCAAGAAAAGTAATAGAGAGAGGTGATCCAAGAGAAACCCTGATTGGATCGGAAAACCCTTCGGGCAACCAATCAAACCCTGCACATAAAGCTCCAATCAAACTTTAAGGTATGGCTGAGTGGCTTGAGGCATTGGTTTGCTGATTGACATACAAGAAGATTGTGTCATTGGTTTGCTGGTAATTTCATAACTTGCAATGGTGGAAGGCATTTACACAACCAAGTGATGGTTATCTCAGCACAACTCACAGAAAAAGGAGCAAGGGCATGTGATGTGGTAATTGCGTTAACATAGCTTTAAATTGCTCTCACAAAGCAAGATGGATGGAAAAATACAAAATAAAATAACCTAGTGCCTATTTGGACAATATCCCCTCTCATAAACTAAAGGAAAATACGTGTCTCTATACTTTCTTACCAATCACAATTTGACATGTGTAGAGATTTTTCTTTGAGTTACTGTGATTTTTCAACCCAAAATAAAATTTTCGTGCGAAGCTTGAGCATGTCAAGCTTGAAGATTTCAAATACACATAGATGGGAAAAAAAAAAACCAAACAAACAAAAGCCGAACTCGAATTTTATTTATTTATATTTTTGGAAGGCGCTATAACCATCTCAAACCAAAAAGACTTTTAACCCAAGAATTGCAGTTCTTTCGAATAAGAGCATCTCCAAAGGTAGGATGAAATCCTCTCCAATGAAATTAGCGAATTTGGTCTCACAGATGCAAGGCCTGTTCTATAAATTTACATTTTAAAATGAAATAACATATTATTATTATTATTATTTACATTAATGAGTGAATAATATAAAATGAAATACATTAAATCAGGTGAAGAAATTTATTTTACTTCTTGGTTTATCAAAACTATAATATTTGGATTAAATATAAACTGAATTGAATTTTGTTGAAGTTGTTTTGCTATCAGTATATTATGAAGGTTTATAATATAAGTATTATCAACATGCTTTGAATTTGTGTACATTAAATATAAAAAAGTTAATACTATAAAATACTCCTACGAGAGAAGTTAAAACAATAAAATAGGACACATTATTCGATTTTATTTTTCATTTTTTAATATAGAAAAAATGAGAAAAAGTTAAGAATTAATTTTTGTGTAAAATTTTCAACGTTAATTTTAAGAATTAATTCTTAACAAAAATTTTCATTTTTCATTAATTTTAATCAACGTATAAAATTTTCATATTATTTTTGATAATTTCAATTCTTAATATTTGCATTTATCAAAAGCACTTTTTGGTGATGCGGGAAAGAGAATGAGAAAAAGTTTTTCCGGGGGGAGAAGGAATATGCCAGCGTGGTTGTTGGGTGTTCTTTTTTCTTGGTGGTCTGATTTTTGTTTTATCTTTAAGAATTAATTTTTGTGTTTTCCACCAGCCGTGGGCTAAATAAAATTTTGGCCAAATTTGGAGGGCCACATTTAGTCATTTAGCCCTCCAACCGGGCAAATGTAGTCAAGCTTTGGCCTAGGCCAAATTCATTGTGAACCCCACCACATGTTTTTCAACCACCAAATATTATATTTTAGTTCCCACTTGCCTTTTAAAAGCTTGATATATATAGAGTTTTAAATAATGAATGGAGCACTAGTCTGCCATGTATCACAACAAACCTACAGCTTTTTGAATGTTTCTTCCACGCATTGATCGTTGGTTGAAAAGCAGTAGGTTTGCCATCTTTATAAAAAAGAAATCATAAATGTGGTCAGCTGTAGGTCTGTAGGTTTCGTCCCTTCACAACAAATCATAAATGGAGCCACACACTCCTTTTTTTTTTCTTTTTTTCTTTTTATAAAAATAGAAATCATAAATGTGGTCAGCTTTGCCATCTTTTCAAGTGTTTAAAAAAATAATAAAAAAGTTAATGTTCCCGTTGTGCTAAAATGGCCTAAGGGCACAGGAGAATTGGACTGGTTTATGACCCTTAAGCAAGTTTAGCTTCTATTAAGGGCAAATATGGAAACACAATTGATATATATTTTTAATTAAAAACTAATTACATTGATTTAAGCAAAAGAGAAGTGAAACATATCATGAAGAGAAGAGATCAAGTCTAAAAGAGAAGGTTTAGGAGAAGGTTAAATACAAAGCAAAAGCAAAAGTTAAATAAAGTTATGCCTGTAAACACATGTCAAGTGTTGAGTGGTGAAGATACAGCTTAGATTAAAGCAGTGAGCAAAAATATTTCCATAAGCTTTTAAACAACTTCATTCTGAGCATTCCGAAATAAGGGGGAATCATAATAGATTCAAAAACTGTTTTTTTGTAAAGATTTAAGGCATAATTAAAAAGAAGCATATTTAATTCATACAAGGATAACATCTTATCAAGATTTCCAAGAAAACCAAGGGGACAGGAGCCTGTGTTGGTGGAATAGCTTCCCACACATCTGCCGTTAAAGGTGCTGAAATCGAACATAAACGAAACAGGGAAAAAGAATAATTGTCAGATTAGGTAGAGGGGAAAAAACATGTGCACACTTCATAGCAAAAAAACATTATAGTTCACAGGAATTCCTGCTTTCAAGCATTAAATATTTTCTAACACCCTGCAGAATCCAGGAGGAAATGAGCTAACCACAGAATGACTGATTTACATAGAGCAAAAATTTACAAAATTAAAAAAGGTTGACAAGTGAAACCTGGTTCTGCATTCCAGCCAACACCAGGAGCTGGGGCAGCTGCAGGGGCATCTGCTAGCCAAGTAGCATCAGAAGCTTGGGTAGGCCATTGATCACCACCAAGATCAATACCGGGTGCAGTATATCCACCCATTCCATAACCTGAGTCTGCAACAGCTTCTTCCTCCTCCTTTTCCTTGGCCTCCTCAGGCTCTCTATAGAAGAACAGATCAACCTGCCAATAGAAATTTGGGTGAAACTAAGAAGTTTAAAAACTATTCTTAAACAAGCCCTCTAGTTGCTTAAAAATAAGGCACAGAAGTTCAGGCATAGAATTTCAAAATTAAAGCAAAATATACCATGACATCCCACTTATGCCCTGGACGGAGGGAACCTCGCATCTCCAAAACCATCCTTGCTAGGAGCCAAAACAGACATCCTATGCTGTGCTTTCCCTTGTTATTAGCTGGGATGCCAATATCAACATAACGCATAGGAGAATCAGTATCACAGAAGGCAATGGTGGGTATGTTTCCAAGAGCTGCTTCCTTGATTGGCTGCAAGTAAATAAAGATTATTAGAACACAATGAGACAAAGGAGCAGAATAAAATTGAGAAATAACAAATACAGCATCACAAATAAATTAAGATTTCTAACTTCAGAGGCTTGGGTAGTCACATCATTTTTACAGTTGCAAGAATCCCAAAATTAACAAAGCACAAAACTCCATTACGCGAAATGAAAGGCGATCATCACCTGGTGATCAGTTCTTGGATCAGTCAGAATGAGAAGACGGGGCTCGTTGAAAGAAGTCTGCATCTGGTTGGTAAAGGTACCAGGAGTGTGCCTCCCGGCAATTGCATTAGCACCAGTGTGCTGAGCAAACTTAAGGACAGCCCTCTGCCCATAGGGCCTTGCTGATTGTACAATTATATCCTTGGGATTCTCAATAGCAACAATCACCCTGGCCGCCAGCTGAAGTTTGTCCCAGGTTTTGCCAAGATTTATAATGTAAATTCCTGAGAAAGACAAAATTTAGTAATTAAGCACCAACTTCAAATTCAATAACAAAAGATCATTTCCGATTAAATCAACAGGTATGAAAGACAATAGGGAGAACTACGCAGATAGCACAATTTCATGCCTAATCAATGCGCATCACAACCACTCATCACCACGCAACCGAAATTGTAGAGTTTAATGTTCATCTAGCTCGACAACAACTCTGTGCAATCAAAAATACAAAACTAACTCCTCACAGTATTGGTATTGTATAACAAGTTCATCTAAGAAACAGTCCCCAAACGGCAGACAAACATTTCATCTTCTAAAATCAATTAAGTTCAACCCAATGAAGCTGTTTAAATAGGCAAAAAAGAACATTTAATCCAAAGGAACATTAGAGAAATAAAATATACCAGAACTATCAACTGATACTAAAGCTAAACGACCCATACAGATCTGGCAAAAGCAAAAGTTACCCAATATGCAAAAAGATGTTCTCAGGCAATTCAGCTCAAATTTAATAGTACCCATCATTTCAAACACCATACAAACAAACAGCTATAATAATATAAAAAATCTGATCTTTCAAATTTATATCAAATGCAGTTTCTCAGCATCCATACAAAAACAAAAGCATAAACAAAGACTAAGAAAATGACTAAATCTGACGAAAGCGAGATATATATACCATCATTGCGGCGCTTAAAGACGTATCTTTCCATCTGAAAGTCACAGTTTTTGGTACCCAAATGGACCTCAGCGGCCAACATCATCTGGATGTCAGCCTCTTTCTGAGAGAGCTGACGCGGAGGTGCAGCGGCGTTAGTCGCCATGGTTAAGACTTCGACAGAGAGAGATGAGCCTCTGAAAACCCTAGAATCCCTCCTGGAGGTTTTGTGTGCTAGAGTGAAAACGAGGCTGTGAGGTGCAAGACGGCGAGTTTGTTTCCTTTATATATGAGAGGCTGGGTGGGAATAAAACCCTTGCAACCCTTTGCTTCTCTTTCTCTTCGTTTTTATTTTTGGTTCTTTTTCTCTTCGAAAAACCAATAAATCCACCCGTTTTTAAAGTAGGGTTCGACACTTGGCTTGGCCATAGAATTTCGGGTTTGGGTAAAATTGAATTGGTTTGGCCATAAAATTTTGGGTTCGGGTCAAATTTGGACCGGACCATTTCAAGTATGGACATTTTTCGGACCGATTTTGAATTTCAATACTTTCCTCCAAACCTACCCATATGTCCCGATTCTCTTCAAACATTATGTAAATCCTATTCAAAATTTGAACTAGGACGGGCTACCCCACACATCATTACGGGCTAGAATGAACTTTGACTTGTTAAGCGAGGTGTAAGAACATATGATCTCGAATTGAGAGATAACCGGTCATAATCACTTTAGCTACAAATTTATTGCCTTCTTATTTTCATTTCCTTAAAGAAGACCCAAACTTAATGATTTTTCAAGGACAAACTTCGATGATATTTTTCTATTGAAAAAAAAAAAAAATTATGGGTGTACAGATAGAGCATGACCCAAACTTAAGATCCATCGTGTTAAGGGCTTGCCATTAATTTCAACCATAGGCCTCATAGAAAAACCCAGAGTTAAGCCCAGCAGACCTGGATCCAAATCCAAACCCGTTTCGTTAAACCCTACTATCTCCAACTGCAAGCCTTCGTCTGTTTTTCTGGTACCGTTTCATTCCGTAGCTAGCAATGGCGGATTCAAAATCTAAGAAACCTGCAAACAACTCAGACGATATAGAGCACCTCAAGTCTGACATAGCGTCTTTCGCTTCCTCCCTCGGCCTCGCAACCTCTCTCCCACCATCGTCTTCTTCAGGCTTCAATGATGTTGATTTTCGTAAACCTGGTCCCAAAAAACCCCAAAAGAAGCCAAAACCAGCTCCAAACCAAAACCCCACAAAAAACCAGAAGCCAAATAACCAGAATTTCAAATCCAATGGAAAACCCGATTCTTCGAAGCCGAAACTCACTCTTTCTTCACTGGAAGACGACACCAACAAGGAGAAAGCAAAGAACTTTGAGAAGTTCAAGAACCTTTCGAAGCTGCCATTGATAGCAGCTAGCAACTTGGGAGTGTGGTATGAGGAAGCTGAGGAATTGGAAAAGAAAGTGCTTGCGAATGGGAAGAAAGCGGAGGTGAGGAATGCGGAGCAGTGGAAGAGTGTGGTGGCCAAGAAGAGAGAGCTTGGAGAGAGGTTAATGGTGCAATACGTAGCTGACTATGAGTCGTCGAAAGGGAAGAGTGGGGATATTAAGCTGTTGCTTACCACACAGAGGTCCGGGACTGCATCCGATAAGATATCGGCGTTCTCTGTCTTGGTTGGGGACAATCCCATTGCCAATATGAGGTCTCTTGATGCACTTATAGGTAATATTGCAGTTTGTAATTAGTCACATGTAAGCAAAGGTGGTTCATTGTGCTTCATTTTTCTCTAGGTGTGTTTTGCTGAGAGTATCACTTTTCCTTAGGGTTTAAAAGATTTTAGGCCTTTCTCCAAATTACCAATTAGATTTGGGTTGGATGCTCACATTGTAATATGTGTGTGTGTGGTGATTTCTGATTCTTAGAATTGTAGACTCTATATTCCATGTGGTTTTGCTTTTTTTTTTTTTGTATCTGGACTTGGCAGTCTCTGCTTTTTGCCTCACTCTACATGATACTTTATTGCTGAATGTATCGTCTAGGTTCACTCAGCAAGAGAAATGCAAATATCGAATGTTACTGGTTATTTGAAGCCTATATTACATTTGGTCGGGGGCTAATTACTACAATCACTCTAGAATCTCAGTTGATTCATATCAAATTATCAACATGAAGTGCTTTGGTTCTGTGGAATGCTGCATGTGGATTCTTTCTTTCTATTCGAACCTTGATTGGCCTTATTTTGATGAATCTTTGAGTTTACTTTAATTGGAACTTCTTGTTTGTTGTAGGAATGGTGACATCAAAAGTGGGAAAGCGATATGCATTCGCAGGTTTTGAAGCATTGAGAGAATTGTTTCTTACAAGGTTCTCTCTCTCCTTCCCTCTCTCCCTCCCTCCTTCCCTTCCTCTGTGTGTATGTGTGTGTATCATGATTAGTATGTGTTTATGTGTGTGGGTGTGCATCATGATTAGTATGTGTGTGTGTGTGTGTGTGTGTGTGTGTGTGTGCGCGTGAGGTCTGCCGGAGAACTACTTTTATTCACCAGAAAGAAGTGCAATGAAGTTCCAATACTTCACACAGTAAGTGGAGGTAGTACAGAAGAGACAGTGCAATCCACTGACAAACAAAACTCCAGAGCTAGTGAAACTCTTGCCCAAACCACAGAGAAAAGTTTGTACTACCAAACAAGCCCATCCTAAACTATTATCCACACAGTAAGTGGAGGTAGTACAGAAGAGACAGTGCAATCCACTGACAAACAAAACTCCAGAGCTAGTGAAACTCTTGCCCAAACCACAGAGAAAAGTTTGTACTACCAAACAAGCCCATCCTAAGCTATTATCCATCTATGACCATGCTTCAAAAATTGAACTGAAGTCCAGTGCCTCATTATAGAAATGATCATATTTTGTGCTATACTTTTTATTACCCTTCTTTGCTCCATGCAGTAAGTGAAGTTGAAGGTCCCCAAGTTTGGTGTGTTTTATGTTGCATGGTCTGACATTCCTGTAGAAAATTAATATTCTTATATGGTTTAACAAAAGGGAAAAGGCAAAAAATAATTGAAGAAAAAACTGATATCATGTAAATTCTAGTAAGAAACCATTTTCCTTGTGATTGGTAACAATTGATGGTGTATGTTTGTCCACTTAACTTTGTATCAGAACTTCGACACAAAAATAGTTGAACTTTGCATATTTATGAGTTCATACACCTTACTTTGCTCTGATCTGCATATACACTTCTTTTTGCCAGTTTATTACCTGATCGTAAGCTTAAGAGCCTCTTACAGAGGCCATTAAATAATGTTCCTGAGACAAAAGATGGTTATTCTCTTCTACTTCTATGGTATTGGGAGGAGTGCTTGAAACAAAGGTATTGGTTTTTGTTCTTTCTTCCTTTTTGCCCAAAATGTTATTGCGTGTATTGTTTAACTTCCAATGGCCTAGATGGCCAAAAAACTAATGTCTTATTTGGTGGAATATTTTTAATTCATTCAAGGAAATTTGCTCCCATTCCTAGCATGAATACGACTATTGTCATCTCAGGTATGAACGCTTTGTTTTTGCTCTCGAGGAAGCATCAAGAGATATGTTACCTGAACTGAAAAACAAGGCATTGAAGGTTGGGGTTCTCTCTGTTTTTTTCCTTTTCTTTCTGTTACTTTGCTGCCAGTGTAATTGCCCATTTTTCAGTGAATACTATTTTTTATTGTTCTTGAAGTTTTGAAGTTTCAACATTTATTTTCTCCAGTCAAAAAGTTTTCTTGAACACAATTCATGTATTTTCTTTAAAGCACTGGTCAAAGTGAAACTTGGAAAGCATGTTTGTACTAAATATGCATCTGTTTGTATTTCTAAGCATGTTATTGTCTCATATATTGATTTCTTATATGTAAGTTTAAAGCTGGGGTGACAATTCCTATGTTGGTTGATTGTTGTAAAAATTTACACATTCTATTCCCTATTCCCCGTTCCTGTTAAATGTTATTTCATATGAAAACAGGCATTAAGTCTGGAGATCCATGTTGCAACTCATGATTTTCGAAGGTCTCACAATTGCTGAATAAAAAATAAAAAAAAGGTTACATAATTGAAGTTACCTTAAAAAGAAAATCAAAGGTCGCATGGTATGCTTATCAACAAAAGGATGAAATTTAGTAAAGATCTGTATGCAAACATTATTTCTTTTTAGTGGTGATCTAATTGAAGTTGTTCGTAACATCTGTAATATGCTGACATGAGAGTTTTGATCCATATTTCCTATTTAAATAACTGCTTTCAGACTATATATGTGTTGCTAAAGAATAAATCGGAGCAAGAGCGAAGATTACTGTCTGCAATAGTTAACAAAGTAAGTTTACACTGGATTTCGGCCTCACCGACTTACATATATTAAAAATACCTTTTTTTTGGCCCTTACAACTGTCAACCTGCTTTATTGTCAACTTTTGTTCTTTTGGTTACATATAGCTGGGAGACCCTAAAAATAAGGGGGCATCTGATGCTGATTTTCACTTATCAAACCTTTTGTCTGATCATCCAAACATGAAGGTACGACTATCAAGCTTAGCCGAATCTAATTTGTTTTATTTATATGTTCTGGCTCATGAGTTCAGTCAGCTGCTTTTACTCACTTGTTCTAACTTCCAACGGATGAGGTTTCAGGGAATTTTGGGTAGTAGGGTACTTTGTACAAATATGAGAGTAGAGAACTTTTAGTTTAGCTCATTTTGCCACTTGGTTTAAGTTTTATTTTTTATACTTTTAACTCTTGCAGTGGAACAGGACACGGAAGTAACAACCTTTCATTTTTCTTTACCATATGGTCTTAACTGATTACGTTGGTATTTTTTTATTTCTCAAAAATGTGAGCTGCTTTTTGAATGTGTTCTCTTTGTTTGAACATTATGCTTATGCACATCTCAAATAGTTTATTTATTTATTTTGTTTGTTGAAAGAAGTATCTCAAACAGTTCTATTATAGAGGACATTTTAACATTTTACTCATGGAACGCAGGAGCGTGTCTTTTAAATTGTGTTTCTATATGATATGTACATCATCTGTCTTTACCTCGATGATAGTGACAGTAGAATAGTTCATGGCACGTGTTTTTTTTTTTTTTTTTCCTTTTTGTAATTTGTGCATATTTGTAATCATTTTGTTGCCCTTGCATCCTATCTTATACTATGAGCTCCTCTGAACAGGCAGTGGTGATTGATGAGGTGGACTCTTTCCTCTTTCGGCCGCGTTTGAGCCCACAAGCAAAATATCATGCCGTATGTCTCATCATGAATACTACTAATAATTTAATTGTTAGCATCTAATGTAGACTAGGCGTGTATAGTATTTCTATTT